CTTGGGATGGTTACAAATAGAGCAGGGAAATTACTATTATCAAGCACACAGAGCTGAAAGGTCATTAAAACACAGCATCATGCCTTTCATTTAGGGAGGGACCAAACTTACCAAATGGCCCAAAGGATGTTTACTGGAAAAAAAATTTGTCAAGGACCGTTCTGCAAGTAGTATCAGCCTGTGAAGTATGTCTTAGAAACAATCCTTTCAACCACAAACTTTCATTCTCAGGCAATCAATGAACTGGAGGCTACCCAGAAAAGACTGACAATTAGGTTTCACTCATGCCAAGGTCAAAGAAATTCCAACATTTGTTGGTATGGGTTAATACTTTTACCAACTGGGTAAAGGTCTTCCCCTACAAGACAGAGAAGGCACAAAAAGTAATACAAATTCTGCTTTATGAAATAATACCCAGATCTGGCTTACCTAAAAAATTGCAGATTAATAATGGTAAATGGCTGCCTTGACTCTTTCTCTATGAGAAACTCCTGACTCTTAGAAAAATTTTACACCTCAAAATAAAACAAACTGTCTGCTTATACTCAGCAAAACTCTAAATAATACCTCACAAGCATTAGATGATTTTAAAAAAAAAGTGTTTTTAATTAAGTTAGGGCCAAACTCTTGGAAATAGAGCCACCATTGATTACTTACTGCTCCTGCTTCTCCATCACCTGGGTTATGAGAGATCCCCTGACATACATTGTTTACAAAGTCAGAGTCTCTCCTAGATTATTTGACAGGTTTGGAAACTGTAGACATTATCTTCAGATGGCATCTTGTTGGTCAGTATAATCTTTACTTTGTGTTTTTCTCTTTGTATCTGCTAATGTTTATGCCGCCTCATGCCTGCCAGCCTTCCTGTAAAACCATACTGTGGGCCACTCGACCGACCCTTGGGTAGACTCTAACTGCTGTACCCCCACACTGTCCTTATCAGCATGAAGAAGCCAGAGTGGTCATCAATCTTGTTCCCTAAAAGCAGTTACAGGCCCTGCTCCAGGGGAGAAATAAATAGGGAAAGGGTTAACATTAGACAGGGAGAGATAGGGACCTTCAGGGAGGCAGCTGCAAGTGGGAGGCTGAAGAAGCAGATGGGGTTCTCCCTTTATAAAATCCTTTATGGGTGCCCTCTTCCCATTATCCAGTGCATAAGGGGGGATCTAAATGAGACAGACAATCTAACCCTAAGACAACAGATGCAGGCCCTTGGCTCTACCCTAACTACCTTACACCACTGGGTCAGGGAGCAATTACCTATGAATCTGACCACAGACGCTCACCCCTTTAAGCCAGGAGATGCAATATGGATAAAGGAGTAAAATGTCCAACCCCTAAAAACCCTCTGGAGGGACCCGTTCACTGTCACTTTGTCCACCCCTGCTGCAGTAAAGGTAGCCAAAGTGGGTCCCTGGATTCACTACAGCAGAGTGAAGCCAGAATCTCGAAACTGGGAGTGCATTCCTGATCCATCAATGCCATGCAAGCTGACCATATGGAAGAAGCAATCTGCAACTCCAGAGGCTCTGGGAGACTGCAGCCCTGCTTTAGTCACTCCGGAAGCTGACTAATCTACACATGGCAGAAGCTGGAAGAATCGACGGTCCAGTGGAACAAAAGACTGTCCTTATTTTCTATATGTTTCCTTACTGTGATGCACTGTCACACCTAGTTTCTCACTATTACTGTGATTCGTGCTCTACTCTTTGCCACAGGATTGGCCAAGGCCGCCCTGGCTGGCTGGAAATGTGATGAGAGGTTTCTATGAACACTCACCTTCCTTTTGTGGATAGGATACTTCGTTGGTACTAACATGGGAAAACAATGGCCAGAAGAGACTAGAAAATTAGATCTCCACAAACCTTATAGTAAAACAAAGTGCCTCAGTCCTACTACCGGGGTTTGGTTCTTCAAAAGTGCATTTATTGGGGCGCCTGGGTGGCGCAGTCGGTTAAGCGTCCGACTTC